CAAGGGCACAAGTCACTGGCTGATCATGGGACTTGACGGTGCAAGACGACCACTCCGTCTTCACCCGCCTGCCTGGTCGAATTTGGTCTGTAGGGTTTAAGTATGGATCCACGAGTCGAAGAGTCCCCGGGACGGGGTTAAGGCGCGTGAGCTGGCTCAAAGTCCTCAGGGAAACGAGGCAAAAAGGATGCAACGCTGCACGTTGGCGGCTGTCCCCTTCCTATTTAGACAAGAAATCCGCTTCATAGTTCTTATAATAGCCGAGGCTGGTATGTGTATGCTCTTCATAGTACGGTTATGGCGTCTTGTCCGTGCTTCTCCGAATAGGTTCAGCTCAATCTGAGGGGCGTGTGTGTGTGATACTCGGACCTGACCCGACAGTCTGGAACGGAGTTGACTCCTTGCAAGGGCCCATGCACTGAATCTGTAGGTTAACGCCACCACAAGCGGCACAATTACCCATCACCCAGGGTGATTTCGCTCAATGTTCGCTGCACCGTGGTGTAGCTCCAGGCGGTTTTAGGGGCACAAGGGCGTCCCGTACGTATTTCTTTGTGTCTTTTGTTAGCGCTTGTCAATGTTCGTTGGCTTGCCAAACCAGATAGGTGAATTCTGATGATGATGATGATGACGATGATAAATGATGATGGGTTGCTGATGTGGGAGACACAGCATATTTTGCTGTAGAATGGAGCTGCTGGCCATGGTGACTGGAAAGTTGGATCACTCATGTTAGATTTCCCCAGCCACTGGAAACGCAAGAAGCCTGTGTCCTAAGCAGAGGTCTTTCGGAATCGGCGGTTTTCGGAGCTTGCGGTGCTCGAAAGGCTCGAAGGACTCGAAGGAGTTGCGACATGCGGCATACATAGTCAGCAAGGCGGCGGGTGGATCCATGCCAGTGATGCGATGAGTCGGAAATCCAGACAGCACAGCGCTGTGAAGGTGGGAGAATGCGAACACCGAAGGGCTACGGATACCCGGCTGAACGGTCACTTGTCGAGACGGGATAGGATAGGAGGGCGCCAATGATTCTTGGCGATCCCGATAATCCACAGCGACACGCGACACGCGGATAAGAGGCCAGTCAGGTTGAGAGTCGCTCGCGGAATTTGGTGTGGGCGCGAGATTTTGTGGAACGAGCTGGACGCTATAGTTGCGGGAATTGGACGCCGTTGGTTGATGGAAATGAAAGCGTGGTTTCCTCTGCTACGCTGTGTAATTTCCACAGCCGAGGAAATGACTGATATGTAGTACCGTAGCCATCACCTCTAGCGGCACCGTTGTTCAAAGATGACGGGGTGACGCGAGGGGGAAAGTAGGTAGGTACATACCTAGGAAAATGGAAAGAAGCGGGTATCTAGAGGTACCCAAATTGGAGTGCATCCGTCGTTTTCTCCACCTGACGGTCGCCGCGAGTTCCCGTCGGTCATTGCCTGCCTGGCTGTAAGGTAGGTAAAGACAGACCCATGACTCCTTCCCCTGGGCAACTGCCTTTGACGCGACATGGAGCGATAGACCAGGAAATAAACAGGGCACTATTTTCGGCATCCATGAATGCTGCTCGAATATGTTTATGGCCTGTGCTCTCCTGCCTTTGGAGACGGAGCGACAATGAATCTGGCAATGGCACTGGCATCTCACTGGGCAGGCACCCCCCGTCCTCCCCCCCTTTTGTTACATACCGGCCCTGACGAGAGGGTGGACGGGAGCAGGGGCAAGGAGTCGAGCGGGAGCTAACGAATAGGGTGGGTAACAAAACACGTATCGTTGATACGCTACGTTACCTTACCCGAGTCCTGCTGCTACAAGATCCCATAGACACCCCGTTATTACATAGTACAGTGCATCACTCGTACACGACATGCCATGTATAGCTAGTAGTGTAGATATGATCAGCGAGCGGGCATCACACCACGACAGCTAATCACGGACGGGAAATGAGGGCGCTCAACCCAGAGTGCCGGGACCATCTCCAACTGAACCTGTTCAAACAACCAGCTTCTGTCGTATTCCTTTTTCGGCGAGCAGGTGGAAACGACTGGACCTTACTAGGTAGGTACCTTGGAAGGGAGAGCAACCAAGAGGACCTACCGAGGTAATTTCCTAACGCACTGTCCAACACTCCAATGGATGCCACCTCCCACATAGTGTACAAGCCCCCCGAGGTCAATGTTGGGTTGTCGCCCCATGGGAACTGTTACTGCCGAACCAGTAGTAGCAGTGTACGAGATGTATACCTAGTCGTGCTTCTTGGCCCGGCATGACCAGTTTCTTGTTCTGCACTCTGATGCACAGCTCAGGGCACCAGTCAGTCAGTATCTGCTGCACGCTCCTGCAGTGGGCGAATTTGCATTACCTAGTAGCATCCGTCCTTAATAAAGAACATATCGATCTTATAACATCCAATTACCGTCGTATCGTGGCTCTCGTGGAAGAAGGGCTAAGGGTGCGATGGGGACGTGCTAGGACGAGGATTTTTTACATTTAACGGAGGAACCCACAACCCCACACTATTGTTTCTTGCCTTCCTGGAAAGTACGTAGAGCTAAGTAGTGTATGTATCAAGCCGGGTCGGTGTCTCGCAGCGTCCCAAGCGTCGTCCCAAGCGTCCTCAACACCGTGGCCCCCCATTTCGGAAGCCCGTTTCCATCTCCCGTTCCACATCGCCAACTTACCACAGGCACGCACTCGCTGGGCCATTTCAGTTATCCCAAGTAGCCCGCCGGCGCCAGGCCACCGACCAACGACGCCCCGGACAAGCCCCGTCCCCCAGGAACTCCCTTGATTACTTCGCTCCCCCGCCCATTGGCCTATGAGATGCCCGTATAGTCGTCTGGAGAAAGCTCCGAGAGCGTGCCAGCGCATCGGCCCCAACCGACCATCCGCTTCAGCTACTGTATGTACACCAGTGCCGGATGTACACTTGCCACAAGGTCAATGAGTGCTTTGGATAGATTCTGGGCAAACAAAGACTCTTGTTCTTCTCAAGCTTTGCTTCGCGGCGCGCCGGGTTGGAAGATAGGCGAGCAGCGGCAAAGCTACCCGAACACCATTGCGCTGTTGGCTGTTTCATTTTGCTGTCCGTTGTTCAACCTAGGGGGGCCCTTCTTCGCTGCTGGCTACATCATCATACACCAACCTAAGAGGCCTTGGCATGGCGTGGTTGCCGGTGTGAAGCTTGACTTTAGAGAAGAGGTGATCATCATAGGGTCCGCCAACGCTGCGAACCATACTTCTAGGCCAACACTTCAAAAAGCGCAGAGGTCCACGCCTCCGCGGGAGTTCCGCTCGGTTTCGGATTTCGAGCCACCCTACCGTGGCTACGTACCACGACACGATACAAACTCTGACGCCCGTCAACGCTACGCTGCCGCTGCTGCTTGCGCTAGAAAGAAAGCTAGAAAAACGAGAGCCCCCTGTCAGACCTGCATAGGATCGTTGCGACATCGAAGTCGACGACGCGGCCAACAACGGTCCCAGCAAGCGCCTCTTTTCCCCTGTCTGCATTTTGCTCATTTCTTTTTCTTGGTCCCAGAGCCGTTGGCTCCCTACTTTAGCAAACCCTAAAGACCCAGGAGACGCCCTGGGCCCTAACGGCGTGTTTGAGGTGCTGAGCGTGTACATATGTTACAGTCAGTTACGGTTCGGTCGCGTACGGTCTGTCACGGTACCGCGCATGTACTGTGTGTGGCCCACGTCGGTACCTCTACATACACATTGCATGCATGCATTAAGTACACCTCAACCGCCAATTCTGCACCCAACGCAAAACGCAGGGCAGCAGCCCATCAAGCGACACAATCAAATCACCACTACAGTATTACTTCGATCCGACCTGGAGATCTCAAATTGCCCATTCAAACTCTGCCAGTCCGTTGGCTCACCTGCATCATTGAACTACCTCTACCTCATCATACGTACCTCGGCCGTCATCTTTGCTCTGTCGCCGACCGCTATCTAGCACGTTCCCCCTTCTCTTCTTTTTTTTCTTCTTTTTGCTCTCCCTCTTCTCGACACTTCCGGCGGCTTCATCTCTCTTCTCATCCCAGTAATCAGCACCCCAGGACAAGTAAGTGTGCTTTTCCCCATCTGTCGTTCCCCAACCAGTCACTTTGTGTCGTCTCCTTGGCCCTCGCACGTGTCCGTCCCCTCCTGCCCTCCCAATCTCTCCATTGTTTTGTTTTTGTAACCCCTGACCCATTTTTTCTCGTCTTTATCCGAGACCACTGCAGGCCCTCCCCCCTCTGTCCACCTACCCGGGTCTGGGGCCTGGGATCCCCGACCCTACCTTTCCCTGCTTTGCCCCTGCCATACATAACACAGCAGCGCTAGCCTGAGGATGGCCCAAGTGGCTCTTTTGCGACTATGTTACCTACCCAGGGTTGAAGGCTTCCCAAGGATCCGTATGTTTGGACCATGGTTCTCGGCGGCCAGCCTGCCTTCATCCACTCGGGACCTACCTTGTCGACCCTACCGTCACATACCGCCCATTGGTTGGCAGGGTACAAAGCAGGTGCAGTACTTAACTGCTCAGCTTTCGACTTCCATCTGTTGTTGTCCAGCCATTCATAATTCCATCGGAACAGGTCAACTTGACATAGACCCCGGTTCCCTCTCAGCCCTGTCATCAGACCCGCTCGCTCCTCTGGTTGCGCTACCCTCTTCACTTTCCGGGTTACTTCTTATAAGTCCCGGTCAAAGCCTTGTTTGTTGCGAGGCTCCTTTCTTGTCCTTCTCTACCCTTTCGTGTCCTACCTGTCCGTGTTCCCTCTCAAGGTCGAATTAGTTGTATTCGTTGTCTAACCACTCATCAGCAGATATACAAACACCACATCTCCTCACCATCTCTCACCTCCAAAGGAACAACACTTCCTGACGGGTCGTCGTGCCCTGTTACATAGAAGAGAGAGAGAGAGAGAGTACACTTTGGCTTGCCATACATGCCTGCCTCTCATACCTTGGGATCTTCAAACCAGGACAGTTATCCGTCTTACAGAGCAATGGAAGGTCATCATGGGCCCGGGTAGGATCTTTATTTCTTCTTACTTTCAGCCTGACTACAGCTATACCTGTTTCACAGAAAAGCTAACATTGTTCCGTCACACATAGGGGACCCAATCTAGTCCCTGGGTATATGGAAAACGGACGGTTCTATGGGGAGTATAAGAAAGGGCAATACATGTTCCCTATCGATGAGGTGTGTTTTCCGTATTCAACCGCTGGTACGTCAATATAAATGGTGTTGACACCATACTGACACATTATGCAGCTGGAGAAAGATAGACTCGACATGTTTCATCATTTCTTTTTGCTCGCTCGCAACCAGCAACTCTTCTCAGCACCGTTCCCGAATCAGGAAAGTCCGCGGATCCTCGACCTGGGATGTGGAACCGGAATATGGGCAATTGACATGCAAGAGTAAGTAAATGACTATAATGAGACTACATTGACTATGGATATTCTAACTTGTAGCGTCTCACAGTAAATATCCAGTGCTTGGTCAAGTCACTGGTGCGGATCTTGCTCTTATCCAGCCAGAATTGTAGGTAACAACGGACTTTGCTTGTTGAAAAGAAAAAGGAAAAGAGGAGAATGACAGAAAAAGAAAAGCTAATTTCCCCTTATTTAGTATCCCGCGCAACCTCGTATTCAAGCCTATGGATATTGAAGAGCCGTGGCTGGAACTGAGCGGATGTGCTTATGACCTCATTCACCTACGTACACTGAATGGTAGCATCTCCGACTGGCCATTTGTGTATGACCAGATATACAGGTAAGTTTCAAAAGCATCTTCTACAGCTGGAGTTACTCTTCTGACCATTTTACAGACACCTGAAGCCCCATTGCGGATTTGTCGAGCAGGTGGAAATCGATTGGGTCCCACGCAGTGATGATAGGAGTCTGCCACCGGATTCTCATTTCTTACGATGGGCCGAAGCGCTGGTGGAGGCAATGGATAGAGCTGGGCGTCCAATGAGACTGGACAGCCATCGCGTCCAGCAGCAAATGAGACAGGCTGGCCTGGTGGATCTTCACGAGCAGGTTATCAAGGTTCCTATCAATGGATGGCCAGAGGATGCTCATGAACGCGAGATTGGGCGATGGTTCAATCTTGGTCTCACTCAAGGTCTAGAAGCTCTAACCTTGGCGCCCTTCACCCGGATTCTCGGTTATACCCCAGACGCTGCGAGGCACCTCATCAGCCACGTGAAGGAGGAGATTCGGTCGCGGAAAATACGCGCGTATTGCACACTGTGAGTACCAACGAGCCTGCAAGCGGCCGTTAGCACAAGGCACAACTCCGTTGTTCACATTGGCTAACTCAAATAGGCACATTTTCACGGCGAGAAGGCCAGCATGAAGCCACTTTGGTGGGGTTCGGTCCGATACACTATTATCTTTTTGCGCTTTATGCAATGGTACATACAATGGTTTCCACAGCAGCGGAGTTCGTGTCGACGGCGTTAAGGGAGGTCATTGTTGGGTTTCTCCTTTTTTGGTACTGGCCACTGTCCCTTCCTCACCCCATACACTTGTCAGATATCCCTTTAACACTATCAAAACTGAAGTCGAAATTGTATACACGGGTTCTCATTCCTCATCATCATAAGTCTCTTCAACTCATTTCAAACTGTCCTTCTCCCTGACCCCTATGACCGCCTTGTCGTTGACCCGCTGCCTATTGCTTTCAATAGTCTCATAAAGATTAACAACCCTCATTCTCCATCGGGTTTTTTTTTTTCGTGGTTGCAGCTTGTTTGCCTTTAATACGGGATGGGATTTTCCATCTGTCCCAGCAGAGTGATCAACGGGTCACTCAAGCAACGCTTACAGTTCCGGAACGATGCACCGGAGTAACATGTGTAGGGTTTCACAACATCTCAACGGGCTATGATTTTTCTTGCAGGGCAGTTTCATCTTTCTTCAATTGTTCTGTGAGTGTATGACTTACACTTTGAGTCCAGTTGCATGATAGAAAGATATATCGAAGTTGGAGTTGCACCGTCTATTATTATCGGTTGTTGGATCCTCACAGGTGAATATCATTCGAAGAGCGTGTCTTGGAGAGGAGCACTGGAGATCATGAAATACATCCCTACTTCTACTTCTTCCTCTGCTTTACGTATGTAAATGAAACAAGGGAAAAGAAAAAAGAACATTCGATGGGAGGTGAATGGAGACAGAGACCGCCGCGGCCATGCGCTTCGATTTGGACAGTGGTTGAGTCACAGAACCACGACCGCATACGGTTGACCCTGATTCCAATCAGATCAATAACTTCGGATACTTCAAGCTTCTTTTTTCACCGTGACTGCCCCAGTGAGACCGGCATGAACTAACCTTCCGGATCAGTTTATGGAATTGAATGGACACATACTTAGCTGTTGAGCAGCCCAGCCGCCCACCGACCACCCGGCCACCCGGAATCATCCAACCGGCAGCCGGCCTGGGCAGAATACGACGACGCAATACAACATAGCCCGGGACCGGCACCCTGTACCGGCGCTGCCGAATGACCGGGATTTCCGTCTGTACTACACGAAATTAAGACCTTACGCTGTTCAACTGCTTCCGCGTCTCTTTTATACGCCTGAATCTAGCGATCATGGTACTTAGCCAGCATGTACGTCGTATGCCTACTGTGGGCTGAACCAAAAGTTGACCGTAACAGGAATGCTTCTGGGCTGTGCTTGTACCGGTGCTCCTATGTTCCTGTCATTTCACACTATTCAGGACGATCCATCTATGTCCGTAACTTCACTCGCTATCACTCTTTAAACCAGACAAGCTCCCATTAACACGCAGCTTCCTCCTCCAAGACGAAGATAGATCTGCAGGATTCGGACGGAATGTTGCTTCCCTGTGTCTCGACGGTAAGGCTAACTTTCTTTGAAACGCCCCAAGCATCCAAGCCTAAGAAGTGTCGAGGTTACGGACAAGGGTTAAGTACCTTAACTCTACACTACTAGTCTCATCTGACTTCGGACTACTTACGACCGAGAGTCATGGCACCAGGGGGATAGTAATATCGGACTTTGAGCTTGTAAGTCTTCTATTGGGCGTAGGTCAACTAGTTAAGTTGCCAGGCTCGAGCCACGTTCCCTACCAGGCCCCCCCTACCCCCCGGCGGGCACTAGTTAAGTGAGTTTCACTCTTCTAGAAGTACTAGCCACTCCCGCAACCCGGCGAGGTGGACGATCAGATGGAAGCCACATGAAGGAGCACGTCTGCCCTACTGTGCCTTTTTTTTCCCAAGCCAATAGTTCGCATGTACACTACGTAGGTAGCATTGTAAAGCCTTGAACATCAGCTACGTAACAGAGCCTTGACCAACAGCTAACGGGAGCCTTGAACAAGGAAAGAAATTGTGAACTCGGAGCTGAAAACCTTGTCAGAAACGTGGCTATCCTTCTTGAGACTTCGGCATCGCCGAGCTTGGATTCTTCTGGAGAGAGATTACATGGAAGCTAAACGAACTGAAACTTTGCAAGGTGTCGAACTAGAAAGTATCTACAGACACGTGTGTCGTCGTGTCGAGGTTTTGGACTTGTGGCGGGCGGCTCTTGGGGGGGGGCTTGCTTGCCACGAAGCGTTAGCCAACCACACCAATCTCAGAAGATACACACCGATCGAGAAACTTTACGGCTTGACTGCCGTCGCTTGCTTCCCACACTTCACAATGTGAATGCTTGAAAATGGTGGTGTTGCAAAACTCAACTTTTGCTTTGCTGGCTTGCTGTTGATACAGTTGATGTTTGTAGTGTAATTAACTGTTCTGCAAGGATTGGCACTACCTGCCTGACAAGAAAACAAAATCAAAAAATAAAAATTCAAAATAAAAGAAAGAAAGAAAGGTAGCAGTACTTTGCTTGTAAGTATTGGATGTGCACGGTATGGTGACCGTTCGGCGTACACGTACTTGTCTTCATACCTAGGTAGCTAGGGTATGCCTGCTTGGACTTGTCCACTTGTAGCCCGGAAGTTGGTACATAACTGAACATTCAGTGGTGGTCACATCCGTCACCTCACCATCTTGAAACTTGCCTACATGTAGACTACTGCAAGGAGTCCAGATGCGGTTTCGAAGTTCCGTTCTTTTTGGCTTTGAACCCGACAGGGGAAAGAGCGACCGTAATGGGTACCCACGGCAAGCAACCCCGGGATGTAATCAAGCAAGTAATATGTAGTGCCATGGTGGGCAAGAGAAAGTCTGAAACATCGACGAAGGTTGTTTGTTCCCGGCCGCCGGCCGAGTGTCGGTCGGCCCGTAGGTAGTAGGTATCTATGACCCCCCGCGGCTCAGCCGGATCCATCTGTCCCGATGCTACTGAAAATGAATATTCTCATTTGAGGTAGCAAGTTCCAACTCCCATCTGAACTTCAAGACTACCCTAGATAAACAGGTATTCATTACCATCTTTGGGCACAACATGCTCGTCATCTCGCCTCGCCACTCTCTCTTCCACTGCTCTACATCAGCCACTTCGTGACCTTTCTTAGAACCATTAGCTCTGTGAACACGTCGATGTGATTCCTCGCGCATATACGCAAACAAATGCAAGCACCTCACCTCTCTTCACCTCTTTAAAACAGCTTAGCTAACTGGTCGCGGCCTAATCCATAGGAGCTGTGACACGTCACGAAGTATGGTATGGGAGCTGGAGAGACGATCATCACATATTCAAAGGGGGGGGGCGGAACTTGAACCGAACCGGGACCGGTTCACCTCAACCGACGACATGGACAGCCCGGCTTGGCCTTCTCCTCCTCCTCCTCAGTGACGTGAGACACAAAAAAGAGACAGGGAAGTATTGGGGATTAGAACCGAAACCAAAACCAGGACAAGGAATAGTAGTAGGACGAGGACAACACATCAAATTACTCGCAGCGGGAACGGTCGACAGAACGGGTCAGAGGCAGCCCGGCCTCGCCCGGTCCAGCTCCAGCCTGTCTGTTTGTCGTCTCATCAACCCACCAAAAAAAAGGGAGTGAGGTGGGAACAAGCGAGCCACGTCGACGGACACGAGAGTTTCTGGAAAACAGCAAGTCTGTAAAGGGCTGGTGCAAACACTGCGGGGACATGGAACATGAAAAAAAGAGTTTGTCACCCACCCAGTGACTACCAAGGGCCGCACGAAACCGACCGGCTTTCCATCATACAATCACCAGGGGTGCGTGTGAGGCAACCAAGCAGCCACCTAGCCACGTCGACGGTCTCGTTTCGAAAAAGGCCAAGGAAGTGGAAAGCAAGAAGCTTTGGGTGCGAGGGTGTTGTGTTGGGCAGCGGGCGTGATGAAAAACACTTGCATGGCAGAGTCGCGACGGTGATGTGATGAGGTCGACAATTAAGGCCAACAGAGTCAAAAAAAAGAGGCGGTCAGGGGTAGGTAGGGTCGGAGACCATGGTCACCATGGTCTATTCTGGGAGAACATGGGGAAACCCAAGGCCGGCCACATCGACCGACCCGGGTCGACCGATCGGAGCTTTTGGCCCGATTTGAACTGGAATCAATCCAAGTGACTCTGGTGAATGAACGATTGATTGAGCCATAAGAAAGATACAACATGACCACATGCGTAGGTTGAAAAATCGGGTTCGGTTTTATCTCATCTTTCTCAATTCAACCTCCTTTTGTGACCTCTCCGTCTCTACTCTCTTTTTGCGCATAATAGCGGCTAAATGTCTATGAAGCATATGTTATACAATCGACAGAAGGTAAAAAGAAAAGTGAAACAGTGAGGGACCGAACCAAGCTCCTGGGACAAATATACAATGGGAGAAATAGAATTGGTAAGTGATAAAGGGTTCCCAGCTGGAGGGAGATGGGCTGACAAAGAGACGAGATGAGCCGAACCGGAATCTCCCTGGGAATTCTGGCATGATGGTCTTGTTGCTTTCCTGCTTCTCTCTCTCCCTCTTCCTTTGCGAACGAACTCTCCAAACAAACCCAAATCCCGGGGGCTCAAAGATGCAACTTCTGCGCTACTTGAGTAGGATATCCGTTGTATTGCCGGGGTCAGTTTCCATAGGCGATCTCCGGTTATCCACAGCTCTCACACCCAACGTTTGGCTGCTGCGCGGTCACTTGCGTGAGTTTGGTGAGAGAGAGAGCGCCGGACCAGGGAAGAAAGGGGGAGGAGGCGGAGAGGGATAGGAACGGCAGAGAAAGAAGTCGGGCCAAAAATCTAAACGAGCAAGAAAAAAACAAGTGATCCCCGTTACGCCTTATGATTCTATTCCATGAAATCATTTCCCGTTCTCGTCTCTCTCTCTCTTCGCGCGGTATTCTGTCCCGTCCGTTCCCTCCCAAAACTGGATTCCCTGTTTTCCCACCACTCTTCTGACACACACGCACACGTTGCGCACACGCGCCCACACCTGCACACACAACCCCTTGCTGTCGGATATCAAGTAAGGCCTCTTTCCCATTGCTCGCGCGCGGGCCATTGGTGACTGAGGTTCGGCCCAACACTCTAGTCTCTTTGGTTGACGTTCATTAAGCGGTGGTAGTTAATGATCGAGGAAGATGGGAGTCCGTTTAGTGGGCGGCGGCGTGGGTCTCGCCGTGGTAGCCGATGAGCTTCATCCGGCCGATCATCTCGCCGATGGTGAAAAAGCCAAGGCACTCAGCGAGGAGAACACCAGCAGCGGCGACCTGTGTCCTGGAGATGTTGCGGACGTTCTGGAGGGAAGCACCGGCGTTGGAAAAGAAAGAGCCGGACTGGACGGACTTGATAAAGTTCTGGAAGTAGGCCTTGAAGGTAGAGACGGAGCTGTGATGAAGAGGCATGTCAACAACCCAAAGATATTCAAGCATGGGTAGGCGGGGAGCACTGGAAGGGACATACGGAGGAGTCATGCTCTGGCCCCTGAAAACAATGCGGCCAAGCTCAGCAGCGACCTTGCTGTAGTAGATGACGAAGGGGGTCTGGCCTGTTGATAGGGGATAAGGAGGTCAGCCATTGAAGTGCCATTGGACGGTGTAACCCGGACGGGGTGACGCGGGAAGGGACGCGGGAGGAAACCGTACGCTCGGCGAAGGCAATCAGCTTGCCGGTGCGGCCACCGACGCGGCCGAGGGTGCTGGAGAGGGTCTTGGCATATTTGGCAAGGGCAGGGCCGGCGGCGGAGCTGACGCGGGAGAGACCCTCGGAAGCCTTGGTCGAGAGCTCGGAGGCCTTAGCAGCAGTCTTCTTAGCGGCCTCGGTAGCCTTCTCGGAGGTGGTAGACTCGAAGCGGACCGCGCGGCGGCCGAAGGTGAGGGCCGAGCGCCGGGAAACAAGGGCGAATGACATGTTTGCGGATCGCGGATGGAGAAGACGACTGACGAATTGGTCGGTTTCTAGAAGGGGGGCCGGGCGGTCGGGGTCGCTGGCGGTGCGGGGGAGGAAGGGGCCGGAGAAAGGATGTGGTGATGTCGGAGGAGAAAGTGAAGCCTTTGCCTGTGCAGGGGAGTGGAGAGAGTGAGGCGCACGGAGTGTGGTCGGGGTTCCGGCTTGGTTCCGTGTGCTGCTTGTTGTAGAGGGATATTGCGCACCTGCACACAGAGCCAAGGGCGAGCGGGAATTGCGGGTCGGGAAAAATTGGATGAAGCTCGGAAGATCTGCCAAGGCAAGTTTCGGTAAGCCAGAGGCCAAGATGCGCCCAACTCGTCGGGTTAGGGTAAGGGTTATGCCAAGAAAGCTCGTCAGGGGCGGTGTTGCACAAACAGGGGAGCCCTAGGCGCCATGACTTCATGCCCTGGAGGATTGATTTCATCTCGTCTTTTTTTTCTTATCGATAACAGGAACTGCAGTATCCGCATACAGTCTTCTACACTACCTACGGTAGAGGTACTAGTAGTAGGTAGGTATGCCATCTCAACTTGCCGTCAACTGAAGACCTGCATTGCAGAAAGGGGAATCAAAACGTTCCGGTTCACTTTGACATCTCTCATTCAAATCACCATTCACGCGATGCACCACGTAGACTCAACTACAATCCAAAAGTCAATTCGGCAATAACGCTAAACGCCAAACCCATGAACCCTTTTCCTCTATACACATAATGAACGACCTCAAACCAATTACTCCAGACTGTGGATCTGCACCTTGATGGCACCCGTCTTGGGGTCTGATGCCGTCTCGAACGCCTTGAGCGCATCCTCCAGCGGGAAACGGTGCGTCACCAGCCTGGTGAGGTCAACGAGGCCATTCTCGACCAGGCGAATGGCCCTGGGCCAAGTGTTGCAGTAACGGTACTGGAACTGCAGGTCGACCTCGCGCACACTGGCGCGCATGAAAGGAATCTGGATCTCGTTCTTGCCCACGCCGATGACGAACACCTTGCCGCCGAACTTGACGGCCCAGATAGCAGCCGCGATACTGCTCTCGACACCAGTACACTCGAGAGCCACCGCGGGCTCGATTCCACCAAAGCTCTCGACGATCTTCTTGGCCGACTCCTCAGCCGACAGGCGCTCGACCTTGTGGGTGACGACCTCGGGGCAGATCTCCTTGGCGAACCTCAAGCGACCTTCGTCAATGTCGGTAATGACAAGAGGGCAGGCACCAGCGGCCTTGGCGCAGAGCATGGTGATCAGACCAATGGGACCGGCACCACAGATGAGGACAGGGTCGCCCAGACGAACACCGGCTCTTTGAAGACCGGCCAGCGCCACGGAAAGGGGCTCGAGCATGGCACCGTTTTCGTAGGACATGTTACCGATCTTGTGGCACCACACAGCAGGGTGGTTAACGTAGCGGCGGAGAAGGCCGGGCACAGGGGGCGTAGAGAGGAAGTCAACGCGCTCGCATCCGTTGTAACGGCCAGTCAGGCAGGGCTCGCAGGCATTGCAGATGACTTGGGGCTCAATGGCAACCCTGTCGCCGACCTTGATGCTCTTGACGCTGGGATGGACAGCAATGACCTCGCCTGCCGACTCGTGGCCGAGGACATGATCGCATTCGACGATCATGGGGCCGATGCAACCATGCTTCCAGAAGTGGACGTCGGATCTACGGTGAAGAGACACGAGTGGTTAGCTGCTGTCGTCTCCTTTTCTCCACAACGTAATCAATTCACTGGCAGGGCGGGGACGGGTCTTTACCCGCAAATGCCTGTGCTTCGGACGGCAACAGTGACCTCGCCTTCCTTCAGCTCCTCGCCCTTTTGAACGCTCTCGAGAGAGGGAGAGGCCTCGCTGATCCACAGATCATGCTGAGGGTTGGTGAAAACGCCAATGTTGGTCTTGGAAGCGCTAGAAGCCATTGTAATCAGAATAAGCCCGGGGGGACTGTGTCTGAAGCTGTTGGAAAGTGTCGGTCGAGAACTGTCACGACTGAACTAAAGCTCGAGAGAGGAGAAGAGATTGTGGGATAGCACTGGGTGAGAGGCCCGACTCTCTCTTTTTATACGCACACCAGGCACTGGGACGGGAGCTGCTGCACGCCTCCTGCCCGCTCTCCGCTCTCCGGCCTGCCTTCATCCCGCGTTAGCATAGTGCGGTGGAGGAATGGCTATCCTGAACGCCGATTCGAGGCTTCGTTTATCTGATGAAGATCATGTGGATGAAGATAAGAAATTGAGCGCCTGGAACCAAAATCGTTCCAGCCCAGTCCAGGCTTTGATACAGCCGTGGCGGTTGGTGACGGTTATAAACGCCCAAATGATGTCGCTCTTCAATGTCGCGATGGAGTCTCGAGACATCCACTTGGACCCCGCATTGAGTTTTAAGTTCCTGACTGCCCGCCGCGATGTCTCCACTTCCTTTAAGACAGGCCAGTCCGGGACTAAGTGTATTTCCCCTACGTACGCAAGTAGGACTGCCAAGACCTTCAGCCGGCAGAACTTGAGGTTGGAGAACCTTTGAAGTCTAACTGGCCAAGATTCCTGTGTCTTCTTCCTCAGTCATGTCTCCAAACTTCGCAAGGAAAGACTCGTGCCCGAAGCCTCGAATAACTGGACTTGAGCAATGTTTTTTTTGTGAAGGTTGCCATGTCAGAGCGGGATGTGGGGTACTATTCCCGCCTCGGACAGTTGAAGGAGCTGGGATGGAACCGGGAAAGAGCAGACCGAGCAGAACCCCACATACTTTGATGCGCACCAATGAGAACATACTTGGCTGTTGCGGGTTGAAGTGAACTTTTGACCCCGTGGGGTAGTCTCCACCACGTTTCTTCAATTTGATACTCATCATCCGTCACTGCACCTTCTCTTCATGAAGACGCTCCCGTGTGATGGTCAAGTGAGGGCTGTTGGTGAAAATCACGGCAAGTCCTGGACTTAGATCGGAATGGGTTGAAGGCCCTCAGGATATACAATGCCAAAACCTGCCGATATCGTATGACATTATGTTCACTGACTTGCGTGCAGCCAATCGTCTTGGGCAATGCCTCAAGTTTTCCACGTCGTCTGGAAAATGGAGATGCATCGATGGGTCCACAAAAATTTCAAAGAAAGGGAGAACCTAATCAACACGAAAGAACCTCCCACGCTCCTGCCATAAACAGTAGTCATCATCGGCTTGTTCCGTCATCCTCGAAAACCCCTCTCAACCTTCCCCTCACAACTGAAGTTGAGTTTCTTCCCGTTCCCTTGCCTTGCACAGAACATAAAGTGGGTCGATGTAGCCTTCTTCCGTCCAGCGCCAAACTTCCAGTAGCATTGGCCGCCTTTTCTTCCTGGTCAACAACCGACGTCTTCTCACATGACTTCATCTGCAGCGAATTCGAGATGCACCGATACACGGCCAAATACCCCACGAATCACGCACCAGCTTCCGGCCCTTTTAGGTCGGTCCAACCTGTAAACTTCAGCATGCGAACTTGAAATGCCGCTGATCTTATCTCGTTCCTGCGCCTACCGTGCATCTCCCGCCTCGGCTTAATGACAAAATCCACCACAGTCGAGCCGGCATCCGATGCGCACAACATGGCGCTGGGTCGCAATGCTCAACAACACAGCGGTTGGGTATCGTTCGGCTACGGCGTTACCAAGGGACTACCGCATCTTTTCTACCAAACCGGATTTATCTCATTCCCCTTGCGGTCTAGCAGATCTGGGCCTGCAAACCATTCAGAACAGCTGGCAGGTCTGTTGTGCCCCATCGTCATCTCATGTACTAGGCTATGTTGAGCTTAGTTCTGTGTTCAGATAAATCCGGCTTGTATGAGGTGAGTCCTGGTTATTGTATGCGGTATACCCTCAAAAGCAGACGGGGGGAGGGCTAAGGGAGGCTGGATGCGGCGTAGCTACGCCAATTGGTATAGTCAAGCTATTCTTAGCAGGTAGCCGTCCATTGGAAAATATCTGAGGTACGTATGACACCATAGACTGAGTGGAAACAAACTACAGATATAAGGGGTTTCCAAATGCCTGGTTCTTGCGTCTTCCTTCCATCGTGGCTGCATCTGCGATTTGTCAACTCTCCTTTGTGAATTCGCGGCAAAGGATCGCATCATGAGGCCGCTCTCCGTCCTGTTGGCCGTGTCTGCAGCGGCAGGTTTGGGACACGCCGAGACTTTGAAGCCGCAGACACTTCTGCAGGATATCGTCACGTTCGATAACTCTTCACTTTTCATCAAAGGTGAGCGGTTGATGATCTTCAGCGGCGAGGTCCATCCTTTTCGCTTGCCTGTTCCGTCATTATGGCTGGATATTTTCCAGAAGGTCAAGGCTCTCGGCCTCAATACCGTCTCCTTCTATCTCGACTGGGCATTACTCGAGGGAGAACCGGGAATCTTCCGTGGTGAAGGTATCTTTGACTATTCGGCATTTTTCGAGGCGGCCAAGGAGGCGGGCATGTACCTAATCGCGAGACCTGGACCTTACATCAGTGAGACTCCCCCATATGAAAACACGTCGAGTGCAGCTTGCTTACAACCCTACAGATGCCGAGGCGTCTGGAGGCGGCTTTCCAGGCTGGCTCCAAAGAATCAAAGGACACTTGAGGACTGCAGACCCAGAGTACCTCGCTGCTACTGACAAGTAAGTGAAGAGCCTCGACAATCAAACCTTTCCATATAAAAACTGGACTGACAAAGCCAAAAGCTACGTCGCGAACGTCGACAAGCTCATAGCCAAGTACCAGATAACCAACGGTGGCCCCATCATCTTGTACCAACCCGAGAACGAGTATACCGGTGCCGCTTCAGGCGTTAAATTTCCGGATCCTGACTACATGCAATATGTAATTGATCAGGCGCGAAACGCCGGTATTGTGCTCCCTATGATGAGCAACGATGCTTCATGGACTGGGGGTCACAATCTACCTGGCTCAGGAAAAGGAGAGGTTGATATCTACGGTACGTGAGATCTTCTAAGGACTGAGGATACGCTTGACTGACAATGTGCATAGGGCACGATGGCTATCCCTTGGGTTTCGACTGCAAAAATCCCACAACATGGCCTTTGGGTAACTTGATTACGCAGTACCGTGCCCAGCACCTGAAATTTAGCCCTTCTACTCCATACACCGTACCAGAGTTTCAGGTACGTATTTTAATACCAAGTTTCAAAGTCCACCGAACTTAGGCTGACTGTTCGAACAGGGAGGCAGTTTTGACCCATGGGGTGGATATGGCTTTGACCAGTGCGAGCAACTCATTAACCATGAGCAAGTCCGTGTCTTCTACAAGAACATGTTTGCTTCTGGCGTTACCATCTTTAACCTATATATGGTATGCTACTCCCCAAGACGCGCCTCACAACTTCAGGCCTAACCAGAGCAGATTTTCGGAGGCACCAACTGGGGTAACCTGGGGCATCCGGGAGGCTACACCTCATACGACTATGCTGCTGCCATAGCCGAGGATCGTACCGTTTCTCGCGAGAAGTATTCGGAGTTGAAACTGGAAGCCAACTTCCTAAAGGTTTCACCTGGATACCTCACAGCTACACCTGACACTAGCAATAGAACGGGCATCTACAGCCCGAACACGGACATCACTGTAACTGCTCTAGTCAACTATACCCCGGAGGGAGGCTCGTTTTACGTTGTTCGCCACACCGACTATCAGACGCTTGCTTCAACCCCTTACACCCTCTCGCTGCCAACCTCGGCTGGAAATTTGAGTATCCCCATTCTGGGCGGTTCCCTCACTTTGAGCAGACGAGACAGCAAAATACACGTCGCGGATTATTCTGTCGATGACCACAAATTGATCTACTCGACAGCTGAGATCTTTACTTGGAAGAAGTTCAGCAATAGAACGGTGTTAGTGGTGTATGGTGGTGAAGGAGAAACGCACGAGCTTGCAATTGCCGATGAAGTCAAGTGGACATCAACAGGCCCACCGGTGCAGGTGAAAACGGTCAAGAAGGATGACAAGAAATCGTTCACTGTTGTACAGTGGAAGGCGAACTCCGAAAGGAGGATCTTTAAGGCAGGAAATCTGCATATCTACATTCTGGGTCGGTTCAGTTTGATCTCCCATATTTCGGAGTGTCTCATTGCTAACGAATTGACGAACTAGATCGCAACACTGCATACAACTACTGGGCACCCCAGATCACCAATTCATTGTCCTCTTTGATTGTACATGGTGGATACCTCATCAGATCTGCTTCCATCAATGGCACTTCTTTGTCACTCCAAGCCGACTTCAACACCACAACCACACTCGAAGTGATCGGCGTGCCCCTTGGTGCTTCCGAGCTCCAAATTAACGGGGAGACCACCGAGTACCGAGTAAACTCAGAGGGCAACTACATCGTTGAAATTGACTACGAGGCCCCATTCTTTTCTTTGCCCGACCTTTCCACGGCCAAATGGTACTACATCGACTCCCTCCCCGAGATCCAACCCGACTATGACGACTCAGCCTGGCCCTCGGCCAACCTCAAATCCACCAACAACACCTACGTCGGGCCGCTCAAGACCCCCGTCTCCCTCTACGCCTCCGATTATGGCTTCCACACCGGCGCCCTGCTCTTTCGCGGCCACTTCACTGCCACGGGCGCTGAAACCAAGCTGTTCATCTCCACGATAGGCGGCAGCGCCTTTGGCTCCTCCGTCTGGCTCAACTCTTCTTTTGTGGGCAGCTGGCCCGGTAGCGGCGCGGCCTCGGTGCACAACGACACGTACGACCTTCCCTCCCCGCTCGTCGCAGGACAACACTACGTTTTCACTGTGCTGGTCGACAATATGGGTCTCGACGAGGACTGGACAGTTGGCGATGACACCATGAAGCTTCCGCGGGGCATTCTGGACTACTCCCTTAATTCTAATACCAACACCACTTTGCCCACATCCAACATAACCTGGAAACTCACCGGCAACTTAGGCGGCGAGCAATACCGCGATAAAGCCCGCGGTCCTCTGAACGAAGGCGGTCTTTTCATCGAACGACAAGGTTACCACCTGCCCTCCCCTCCTAGTTCCTCCTTCTCCTCTTCCAATGCCTCGACCCCCTTCACAGGCCTCTCCTCACCAGGCGTAGCCTTCTACACCACCTCTTTCCTCCTCTCCATCCCTTCTTCTCAGTATGATATTCCCCTCCGCTTCGTTTTTGACAACTCCACCTCTTTGGAGTCGGGACAGGAGTATAGAGCCTGGCTCTATGTCAATGGTTTCCAGTACGGACGGTACGTAAGCCACATCGGTCCACAGAGTAGCTTCCCCGTTCCTGAGGGGATATTGAATTATCAAGGAGAGAATTGGGTGGGCGTGGCGGTTTGGGCTACGGGGAAGAAGGACGCAAAGGTGCCGGGGTTGAGGGTGGAGGCGGGGACGCCGGTTAGGACGGGGAGAAGGGAGGTGGAGGTTGTGAAGGCGGGAGAGTGGAAAAAGAGGACAGGTGCTTACTGAGGTGGTGAGGTATCTGTTAAGGTTACGTGTGATGATTATTATCTGTCGGCTTTTAGTATCCCCATTTGGCGATGGGCGAGGTGTTTGGTCCTCGTTGTCGAGACGTCGATTGGTTTACGTATACCAGCACAATGAATCTTGTGTATAGAAAATTCAGTGAGCTCTACATTCTCTCAACACATATCTACTGCAATTCATGTATTTTTTAAGATTTGTTGGGAGACAATCGCAGGTGAAGTTCTGTCCAAGTTCTCTTGTGAGTTTTGTCGTCGTAGGTGTCAGTAGTGGAACCCTAACCCTCCACAATGACCCATCCGCAACCACGTCGGGTTTCGGTGCATACGGGCCCCACCTGAACCTGAGCTTTTGCATACTCCGGCCCCGTCGTCACATCCATCATTCCGTCAATGCTTCTTCGACTTTGACATCGAATGCTTGCTGAACCGTGACGTTTTTGCTCACTTCGGATGTCGACCTAACCTCCAACTGTAGGCGACAATCATCATATATCGAATACTTTCAACCTATGATCATCGGCTTGCGCAAGGCTTCTTCGGCAAAATGACGTTCCAAAGCAAAAAGTTTCCCTCGACGGCGAACACCAACACCTTCGCCGCCAAATACCGTGCAATGATGAAGAAGCACCCCTTCCTTCTCTTTGGTCTTCCCTTCATGTCGGTCATTGTTGCCGGCTCCTTCATCCTTACCCCTGCCGCCGCGATTCGTTACGAGAAGTACGACCGGAAGGTCCGACAGGTGTCGCGTGAAGAGGAGTTGGGTCTGGGTCAGAGGAAGCGCAGGGTGGACATTCGTGAGGAGTACTACGTAAGTCTCGACACTGAGCTTCTGATGGCCTAGGAGGCGCTTTCCTATATCTAAAATCAAGTTTGCTAACATCCTGGTTACAGAGACTGGCGGCGAAGGATCTCGACAACTGGGAACAAAAGCGTGTCGAACGCCTGAAGGGAGAGTCCGATGGTCTGCTTTGAAGACGTTATGCGCACACACACACACACACACACACACACATCAGACAATACCACAACAACCCTGGTTGCGACCCGAATGTCATGTCGATTTAAGGCAATAAAAAGGCACTTTATGATCAGCAGGGAGAAGGAAAACGAACATCTTTGAACTTCCGTACTCGGCAACGATCAAGGGCTATTCATCCAATGGGCTGGAGCGCTCCCAAGGGGCCCGGGGCTCTTGTGATTGGCTCAAGTGCGATAAGGCGTCGAGGCTGAGCCGTATATCTTTTTGGAGGGAGAAAGATGACTGAGAGGCATGTTAGTTCTTATACGGGTTCGGCTTCTGACCCTCCTTGCGCAGCAAGATGCCCTTTGGGGGAGTACAAAAAGGTCTCAGCAGGAGAAGGCGGCGAACTGTCTTATGTTTTGGGCGCAACTCTCACTAAGGCCGAGGTAGCACACTCAGTCCGGTTTCTACGCCACTTTGGAGAGCAGGTACGCCAGAGCATCAAACGGCAGCACGGTCAAGGGAGGCTTGAGAGAGGTCATCAGGTTGACTACCGATAGCACGGATTTGTGGAACGGGAAATGTGACTGGTCAGTTGCCGTGACGGGTACCTGAACTAGCAGCGGATATTGCGCCGTTCTTGTCAGCCGCGTGACATGATGCCGGTGCACACACACACACATTATTACCTTAGCCCGGTCGAAGCCACCGACGACGGGTGACTCAGGAACCAAGATGGCTAATGCTGCTGGTGCACCTGCAGCAGATATCTGTGCAATTGGGCTTGGACATGTGTCCAAAAGGGGGAACAATGGGAGGGAGAACTCTCCCAGCTGGAGGGAAAGGACAAAAATCTAGACCTACTACAACTCTTGTTTGAGGTTTGCTAAGCTGCCTTCATGGCGAATACCTAGGACAGACATTGCACTTCCAGAAAAGCTCCCTTGTGCGTCACGGTCATTGCATTGCTTCTTTGGAAAAAGAACGTCAGAATGTTGCTTTTCCGCTGCAAGATGGCAATCCTGCAAAAGGACATGACCGACTGGGAAATGCACAACATCATTTTCCTCACTGTCGCATTCGGTCTCGTTTCAGAAGAAGATCTTACCGGAAAGAGGTCCAAAAATAAAGCGAGACTTGACACATGTCTGACGTGCGCGGGCCATACATAACATCATCTCCTGCATAGCTGTACACTGCAATACTGGCCATATCGTCATAGGCGTGATGATCATCAATACCTAAAGCTGGGAACGGTCTTTATAAACTTGGTCGATTTGCCTGTATTGAAAAGCAGAAAAGGAAGGATGCGGATTTGATAAGCCTTATTGGTTGCCGATCCGCCGGCCGAGGCTTATCTTTGACGTAAGTACCTCGACGCCTTTCGACCCGGTGCGTACACTACATTACAGATGACTTTGTGGACAACCAGCAGGACGTATCTTTCAATTCTGGAAGATACGGAAAATGAACCGATGGAAAATCTGAGACGCTGTTTGACGACAAGAAATCCCCGAAGAGGTAAGTCTGTCCGTTATCATCAACGATGTCCGTTGCGCCCTGCGCCCCCCGGCGTCCCGGCGTCCTGGAAGGCGTTATCCCTTCTTAGCCGAGAAGCCGACACCATGGAGCCTTGTAGAAATTCTTTGCGTAGCACTCCGGGGTTAGCAGCTGAGAAGGGACATTTGATTGAATTGAAGCCGTAAGAGCATGTTAAAAATCGACGGCCCAATTATTATTATTATTATTTATTTTTTTTTTTTTTTTCACAATCATCGTAGAGGGTTTTGATAGGTCATACTGAACGCTTACGCAGAGGTCCCGTTCAAAGAGTGTCTGCACAGCGAACATTGTATATGGCAGCCCGCCGCACAAAGCGAGACGCTTTTATGTGCTCGATTTGTGCAACGTGTCACAAACTCGATTCGCGGCACTGACAGACTCTCTTCGAGGGAGCTTAGACATGCACTGATTATTCTTGCCCATCACCTCGGGCGATGCGCAAGGTGGTGTTGTTGACGACGGAGACAAAGCAAACCTCCAAGACACACAGCTGCAGTGAAACGAGGTTTACGCAGGTACACATCCACATACAGTGGAGTGGAGGTGTTCTCTCCACACCTCAGCTATGACGCCATCACACCTAGTATGTACTGCGTAGTGTAGTGTATGCTATGTACACTATGTCGGTAGGAAATGTACTCTGTTGGGAGTTCGAAATACCAATTACAATAGCTTTCGGAGATCAACACTTGGACACAAAGGTTTGCAAAAGCAAAATAAAGCTCCATTCAGGTCCCCGACTGAAGATCCCTTCAGCTTAACAGACAAACTCCAGTTGGGATCGAGGGGAGGGGAGGACGGGGGAAGCGAAACTGCACTCTGCAAGTTGAGCATCGCATCACACCGTCGCTTTTCGGAGAAAAAAAAAAAGGCCAAATCACAACTCACGACACTTTACGATGTTCGCCGGGGATCACGATAAGCTTCGTCCAGTCTGGAATAGCTCGATCTGTGTGATTAGGTTTTTTGCAGCTTAACGCAATAAAGGGGTGATTTTCAGGCACGCGCACTCTACAGCACGCACTTTTGTGTGTTGGGAGAAATTGCAAGCTCGGTACGCTAGAGCCGTAGATGAGGTCAAGCTGAAATTTAGTAGTGTACTTCCCCCACTTTTCTGGACCTCGCCAGACTCGCCGTATGTACATAGTCGTGTAGTGTAGTCAGTAGTGACTACAGTGTAAGAATGAGATTTTTGGATCGTGAGAGGCAGGGGGGTTAAGCTGATGCCTGGTAAGCAAGCTGACTCCGAATTGAGATCGATACTACTGCATGTCTCCGCGATTGCTGAACTCGTGGGTCCTATGAGCGAAATCGTGCTATAATCCGATCAAATAATTGTTTAGCAAGAGGTGGTTACATATCCTGCGGTCCTATGGTACGTCCTGCAAGACACTGGACCTTGGAAAAAAAAAAAAAAAAAAAGAAAAAAAAAAAAAAAACCTCTGGCCGGCGGAGGTTCTTGGCATTAGAAAACAACCCATGTTGACCATGTTTTCGGGATCGGGAAGTATAGGGGTGTTTGTTTATTCGATTTGCAACTTTTTGTTTGTATCCTTCTTTTATTTCTTTTTTCTTTCCCGGCGATCACGACCAATTTACTGTCTAACGCGCACATGGAATCCCCCGAACCCATGCACATTCGGCACGGCATCTTGAGGGTTCGGCGACTTATAGTCCGAGATAGGAAATGGTGCGGACGACAAAGCCGATCAATAATCCTCACACAGCTTCACAGAAGTTCTCCACGCAACGCTAAAAACACACGCTAGGCACTCACAAGTCTGCACACCCTTTCACAGTCATCAGGTTCATCAAGTCATCACACACAACGCCAGTGATCACAGCCCACCAATGTGGATGATGGCGTTGCAAACACCCACTCCAACAGCGCTGCTCGGAATTTCAGGAATCACAGCCTTGCAGGCTGTGTGTGCCTGAGTGTCTTGCCTGTCCTTGGCAAAAGGCTTGGCTTGGATCTTTCTAATTTGCTGTCAAACCAATCAGAGGGTGCAGCATGACCTTGCCAACAGATTCGAGTTTTTGTTTTCGCATGCTTTCCACGCTTTTTGCAATGCCATGCAGAGCCAAGCATTCCTGGTCCCAACTGGGGTGCCGTAAATGCCTGCTGCTGTCCTGCTGCTCGGTTACCGGATCGCCCAGCGGCGAACGAACACCTGGGAATTACATGCCGATGAGGCGATGCGTTCGGGCTTGGAGACTGGCTGCCTGGCTTCAAACGGTTGAAAACGAGCTGTGTTGTGGAGCTTTGGAGGATGCCAGTTGCCACTCCCTGCCCGTGTAAGCCGGAGTTATGTTCTTTTGGACGTCTTGGGCCGTGTCTGTGTGGATATGAGCTGGTGGGATATTTGTCATGATGGGCTTATGATGAAGAGAGAAAGGCTTGGAAGGGAGCGAGCAGAGGGAACTGCGGAGGATGAAAAAAAATCTTTGCAGTCACCGATGGTTGTCAGGCCATGCCGAGCGCGAGATCCGACCTCGCCGATATACACAGTACGGAAGTTTGTAAACGTGAACCAACCTAGCATGCCCGGTGCAAGTGCTTTCTTTCCTTTTGGAGGTCTCATCGTTCGCCGAAGGGAAGAGCACAGACATGCACAGATATCACTCCCTCAGAGGCATCAGATGCGAACACTCTCTCGATTATCACAGACTGAGAGTCCCTTCCAGGTAGCATTTCTCCCCAGATCATCGTTCTTCCTGGTAGTCCTGTCATCCGTCCACTGAGCGGCCCGCAAGCGCTGCAGTTGATCTTTTGCGTCAGAAACGGTGAATTTTTGAAACGAGCAGGGGGGGCACAATTGCAGTGATCAGGAGGCCCTATGACTGCATCGATGATGGCATTCGTGCAATGCCCGATCATGACGTACCCTGTCAACACATGCTCTTTTTCTTTTTTTTCTTTTTTTTTTCCTTTTTTTTACTCTTCCTGATAGGGAGCTTGGGAGTGGAAGGCTGCCAGCAAGGTATCCACAGAGTAACGTAGCACGGGGTTCATTGCTTGATTGGGACTTTTTGATAGGAAGAAAACATGGTGGTGACTTGTTTCGCACATGTCAACGCGGTACCCTTACTATTACACCACTTCAACCCGGAACGTTTGTTAGCGTGGTTCTTGCAGTTGAGGTCTGCAAATCAACACAGAAAAATAACCACACAACCATTTTAGAATCAAGGACGTAGGAAGTAATGTATGAAGCTTGAAAAATACACTAGTTTATCCCGACTTCCTACTTGTGATATCAGAAAATTGTAGGTGAATTTTGTAGGATGTGTGGTGAAGTCCGGCGCTCACGAATACGTTCCAGGGCAAGACAGCTGAATGGAACCCACATGCGGAGATGCAAGGTACAGACAGCATTTTGTTTTGCCATGTCAGGGGGGCGCGCGATCTACAGAGGCACGGTGGCACCCCTCACTCCCATGGGAAATCCCAATACCCTGTTCCTAGTCGACCTGGCAAGGCAATCTGTCTAGTGTACACTACATCACACTACCTAGAGGTACGCTAGCTACACTAGCAAAGCATTCACGAGGTTTGTTGCGAGCCAGATAAATCAACTGTGTATCCTGATAAACCAGCGGTGTGGAGTCATGTAAGCTGACAGCCAGGCTTAAGCTAAGAAGCCAAGGCTGTGGTGGATGATTGGAGGAATAGCTGTATTATGTAGGCGTGCATAATGGCGGCGGTTCTCTGGATCCAAAGCTCCCGATAGCTCTCCATCTGAAAGTTCCTCCTTTAAGCGAGGTCTTCAGCTCCTAGACTTCAACTTTCGAATAGACGCTTCGTGGTTCCTCCCATCCACGCCCTATTCACGTTCTCTTACGTTCTCTAACTCTTCTACCATATTCTTGGCGCATCGTAAGAAATATCATAGTGCACGCTAGAGACGCCAAGGTGCTCATAGTACCCCATTGGTTAGACAGGCTCCACCCGGCCTGTTTCTCTTTAGCATAACGCACAGTTGATTTATCTGGCTCGGTTTTGCTGCGTCCACGTCTTTACTAGTCCAAAGCTCCGGTGGATTCCCCCGCTTGCTGGCTTACAAGTACACCACGCTGCCACCTAAATAAAGCTCCCTTGCCCCCCTCCTCCTTTCGATGTTCTCCAACCGGCTCGCCCAGTAGCTGGGGTTAGCTCAGTCGCTTCACCACTACCGACATTGCAAATCACGAAGAACTTGTCTCTCGCCATTTGTTCGAGTCCGCATCAGGCTATGCTCTGCATCCCTATAACCACCAGCCATCATCACCATACGCAAAATCACAAGATGCTCCGAAGTTTCCGGAGCCATAAATCCATGAGGTCCGGCCACTCGTTCAGCAAGGTCGAGCACGCCAGATACCCAAGCGATGCTTCATCCATGGATTCCCGCTCCTCTACCACCAGCAGCAACGGGAGGATGGCCTTCGATCCCCTGAGATGCCATCCTCCCGACCTAACCGTCACTCATCGGCCATCTCTGAACATCAGTGAGGATGGACCACGCCGGCCCTCGCGCAGTCTGCCCGAGCCACATCACGCTCAGCATCACTATACGACGATGCCACGTGTACATCACCACTCTCACCAGCCTACCACGCCAACAACGGTCATTTACGACGGCTTCGACTTTGGCTTTCACCCCAACAAGTCGGCGCCAGGTACATCAGCTTCAGCACATGGTTCAGCAGGCGTGGCATCGCCTTCTTCTCCCACTCCGAGCACCGACAGCTTCAGCAGCAGCTTCAGCAGCGACTCGATGGATTCGAACTATTGTGTCGGCCTAACGGTGGCACCAAAGCCTCGTCAGGGTCCCCAAAAGGAGGTCTCGGCAGCCATGGCACGCCCACGAGGTCTGGATGCCGCTGACGATTTCATCAAGAGAGGCGGTTGGAAGAGGAGAGGCGTCATCTTTGAGTTGGACGCGCCAATGGCTGATGAGGAAGAGTGCTTTGATCTTGATATGGATTGAAGTTTTGGGATCTCAAGATCTCTCTCTCTCTTTACTCTCGCCCTCCATCCGTCCGTCTTCCAACCACTTTCCTCTCTCTTGTGCCGTGCTCGTGTTGTTCTTCACTTCATACCTCTCTTCTCATCCGATCCCTTTACTATCTGCTTAGGGATGGATTGTATTACCTACACACAACCCATTTGTCATTCTCACTTGATTCTGTACCATTTCTTATTCCCGACAACAAGCAACAACACTTGCGTCTGTAACACAAACTCACTCATTTCCTTTGTCACATCAAGCATCAACTTTTGGAACCGGGTCGCAGGTCGGGTCCGGGGTTCGGTCGGTCACTGCATTTTTGGGAATGGGGTTGGGGATCCATGGGTATGGCGCCTTGGTTTTTTTCTTTTTTTTCTTTTTTTTTTCTTTTGTCTTTTGTTTTTTCCTTTTTCTGTTTGCTTTCATGATTTTGTCTCCCCCTTGATACCGTTTTCTTCAAAAGTGTCTTAACAACCCCATTCTGCATCGATCAAAGGGTAGCAGGCATTTCAGCCACTCATCTTCACAAGTTGGAAGTGGCATTGGCGTTGGGTTAGGGATCTGTTTGCAAATATCTCTTCTTTCTCCATCCGCCGAGTTCTCTCCGGTACGCTGGTCAAGTTCTCGGAAGGGAAGGTCCGGAAATGGGAACCTGGAACTGGGAAATACCCACACAGGAATGGGCGGAAATGGGAGTCCATACACATCATACATCGTATGATGAGGCATGGCATGGCGTAGTGATTAGGAATAGAGCCATCATTGTGTCAACCACGTCTCAACATTCATTCTATGCCCAGTTGTCCTCCATTGTGATATCACTCAACTGTTGTCTCACATGTTAATCTCGCCAACCCAACAGCTAATGAAAACTGCAGAACCCCTGTCTGCAAGTCCGTGAGCAGATAGCCCGGTGGTAAGTTCCGGACGGGACATATTTTCTTTGATCTCGTTCTTGTCCAGCTCAGCTGTGAAAGCATAAAGGTAGCCCAGTCAAGAAGTCGGAGCTCGAACTATAATAGACCATACAATCATGACAGAAGAGGTCAAGAAACGAACCATATAACTGAAGTATATCACAGCTTTATGTGCGAGTGTCGCAAGGTTTTGCCTACTAAAAACCTGAAGAGGGGCCCCATGCCATTATGGCGCTGTGCTAAGATTATGGCCAGGGAATAAGGCTAGGTATTATTATTATTTGTGTGCGAGATTCGTTTCACATCCCAACCAGCATAAAACCATTGGATTATATAGAGGCCTCTTGCCCAGTCCGTGACGACATGGCATAGCTACAGAAAGCTTTCAAGACCTATCTACCAAGCCTCTTCACAAGTCACAAGTCTTTATCTTTGTTCAATTGATGTAAACCATCATGAAAATTCCACGCCGAATGGAACGAAACATCCGGTTTGTCACTACCCATCAACAAGGACGGCGCTCCTGGCCGAAAAACAAGGAAGATTACTTGAAGGTTGCCCGTCGTTCCAAGGCAAATTGCAGATGAAGTTTGAGAGGCGACTGTCGTAGACGTTGGTAAGGTTACATCGAACGGGAACGAACCGGCTCGTTAGTCCGCAGATAATCAATTCGTGTTGTTGCATGTAGTGGTACATGTATCAAGACGGTTAAAAGCTTGGTAAAGGCGACAGGTGTGTGAATGACTCTGTTAAGCGGTAACATAATGTTACTACTTCGCGGCTGTCTACATTTACCTACTTAACCTCAGATGTTCACAGGTTATGAGATAGCTACCGATCGATAAACACCACACGAGCATTACAAATCGAGGATTCAGGAAACAAAAAAATCACCTGTAAGGCAGCTTTTCTTCCATCAATAATCGAAACATTCCTCTCACTATATATTACCAGGGAGTATCGAGAATATTTGAGAGCAACAGAAAGCCTTGGAAGCATTGAAAGTATTAGAGAGCATTGGACTTGGAGAGCAATAATTGCCGAGGTCTATAGTAGGTAGTGTTTCAATGATGGGGACCATCAACCGCAGCGAGGAACATCTACGGAGTGTGCCATCGAAGGTGGGAACAGCTCATTAGAGTTATGATGGTGCCTTCGCTTCTGATTGCAGCCTTTGCGGGCTCTGAACTCGTTGGCGGCGGTAGGGTACACATGTGCACTTCACGATTCGTTAAGCAATCTTGAGGTCTCGAAGGTACCTACCAAGAGACTGGATTGGATGTACACTGCAAAGAAAGCGAGATCACAGTTCGTCGATGCCGATAAACATAACATCACATCACCCATTCCACACCTCCCAAGTGCCATCCATCTCCAACCTCCTCCTTATCGACAAACAAACAACCCTGTCCGAAACCCCAAAATGGCAAAGAGAAATGCAAATGCCATTATTTTCAACATTCCCAACTGTCCCTCCATCTAATAACGGAATAAAAAAAGCCAAGTCGCCCAGGTAGGCTTGTAGAACGAACGACAATGCCCCAGCTGTCAGACCTATGAAAACCGGCGCGTTAAGTTATTCATCAACTGTAACCACTGCGCCATAGAATGTAACCACAGGGCTCCCCGCTATGGTAGAGAGGCTACTAGATAACAAATCTTATATAATGTCTGCCACTAGTACCTGGGTCAGGTCTAGGTATTCCAGTAGACATGGAAGGTACGCGGGACGGCGGGAAGGTCTCATCCGTCATCCGATGTCTGTCATGGGGGAACTAGGTACCTCTGACCGAAGGGCGTGCCGCGCAGACGGCAAGATCGGCGGCAGAAATGGTGGAAAGAACGATGGAAGGAACAATGGCAGAAATTGCGGCAGGCGGATAGTTATGTTAAGTCGTACGCAGCCTGTAATGGACTTGTCAGTCCTTTGCAACTCTAGATTAATACATGTTGTTTAGAGATCAACCTTCAACATTGGTGATACTTGCGTTACCACTAGAGAACCAGATAGAAGCGAATCCTCTGGTGGGAAGAGGATAGGTCTGACTTGTTGATCTACGAGCAAAATTGAATTTCCTCAGGCGGCGATTACGATGGCATATATTAGATGAACTCCTACTGCTGGAGTTCTTTACCTACCTACCTACCTCAAGGAGACTCCAGACGCATGGAAGATTGTGATCACTTATAACCCAGGACTTGAAGAATAACCTATGACGGCCGTCTGGATGTAAATTATGACGGTTTCCCTGTTTGTTTATGGAGTCTTAAGTATTGGATCCACAGCGCTCTATGAACAGGATTCGTACGGTAGGTTGATGGATAGGAATCGTGAAACATAATGCCATGATACATGGAACATGTGCCTGAGGATGATAAACCAGAGGAGGTGTCAGGTATGATGCGCCATCCTCGGTATGGAGGAATCTCGAAATGATAAGCGAAAGGCAACTTCACGTAAAAGTCTCATCGGGGACATATGAACCGCAGGAGGAGACACTCGCAGATGACAAGACGACGTCTGTCCTTATCACCAAAGCCTGGCGAGAACCAAGAAGCCATGGCATGGTCTTTTGATGTATTAGAGTAATTAACCCAAGGGTATACTGCGAGTGTTGTCAGCTTCATTCAAGAACGGGTCGACGTGAGCTCGCATACTACATAAAGAGAACTTGCATTCGCAACAAACGATTGGTTTCCAATAGGACTAGCTTCCGATTAAGGCGAATAACATGGTCTCCAGTTGAGAGATACTCCCTGGATAACCTACCATGTGAGCACATCAGAATAGGTAGTGTCTGCCTTACCAGCTGAACAGCCAACTTCACTCATCTTTCCCCGCATTTCTGTGAGACACCGTCACGCCGTTCGATCGGATAGCCGACAACACTTTTACCTCCTTGAACGTTCACAAACAAGAAGACCAAATTGAACTCCATCTTCCTCCAGAATGCCCCCCACTCCCCTTCTTCCGGGCGTCCCCATACTCGGTATGGCTCGCCTCCGATGAGAAATCCAGTCTTAAAAAAAATCACGCCGAGAGCTCCCCACAGCCGAACACCAAGACCGCCTTCGCAGCAGAATGCTGTTCACTCATCGCTCAACATACTAGCCCCTGGAGCTCGGGATCGCCATCTCTCCTTAACGCGACCAAGACCGAGTTCACCGTCCCATTGACATTCGCCTCGCTGTCCGCGGATGAAGAAAACCGTCACCAGATCCCAGTGATAAACTATGAGCATTTTACCGCTTCCCCAAGCACGAGACAGCCCTGCAGCGTCTTCCCAAGCTCAGGGGCACCCAGATCTCATGGTCCATCACACCCATGGTGACGGACTGTATGTAGGTGAAGCCGACAGAGAGGAAGCTCTCCTGCCTTTGAATTCTGGAAGCGACATCACTCACCACAACCCAAAACGTCAATATCACCAGTTTTCCCCACGATCAGAGACGTCTACTCACTTGCCTACCGTCTCATGCCGACCTGCTCTGCAAATCACAGCCTATTCGACTGCCTCTCCGTCCTCACCTTCAACCTCAACCAACACCAACATCGGCATAGCGATAACAACACACAGCCACAGAAAACCATCCTAGCAGGAATGTCCTCCGACAGCCAACTCGCCGCCCTTGTCTTTCAGCACGCCATTGCCTGCGGCACCAACCATCTACGGCGTTTTCCTCCGCTGTCTCCCGTCATTAACGACGCCTTCAGCGGCCTGGATCCTTACATGCCGCTGCACTTTCGGTTACTGCACACCATCGCCTAACATTCTTCCTTGTGGAACTCGCCGCTCAGGCGAATGAAGTGGGCAGGGCCGCGGAACGGGCTGGAGAGGATGCCGCCTTGAGGCTAAATAATGAAATACGGAAAAGGCTGCTGAGGACGTGGATCCAGCTGTGCTCGAACAACAGTCTGTACTCGGATGGGCTGTATTATGTCAAGGCGTTGGAGGAGGTTGGGGTCGGGGTTATGATCGATGTGGTGAGGGCGGGTGGCCACATACGTCCTGGCTGAAGGCGCAGCTGTTCGAGAGGACGTTGGAGGCGGATAAAGATATGACTAGAGGGCTTGGGCGGTTGCTTGGATGAGAGAGGTAACAAGGGGAGGAAAGTGAGGTGAGTGTCCTCGGAGCCGGCCGGGAGATAAGTGAGTGAGCTAGCTGCGTTAACGGATGTGAGTGACAAAAAGAAGGTTCGTAAGGTATTGTAACGGTTGTCAGAAATCATAGTGGGAGATAGAGGATGCGATTGATCCGTAGTTCCTTGGCGCATTCCTGCTATCTACAATGCTAGAGTACATAAACAAATGGAACCGTTGACTGAGGGATCGCCATTTATAGTACGGAGAGATCGCCGAAACGCTCCTGTTGTCGTGGTCAGTATGTGCATCATCCACCACCCAAGTCCCAGTTCTGGAACATGAACATACCTTGTAGCCAGGAACGGACCAGCGGCCCTTGGAGACAAGCTTGGAGGTCTTCTCGTCGATGGAAGGCTCGGCAGCGGCAACCTCGTCCTGTTCGCAAACTCGATGATCAGCATCATGGCCCAATCCCAGCACTCCATGCGCCCTTGTCCTCGTCCGTCGTCCAGACGTCCAGAACATACCACAGTAAGCTCGTCGAAGGGACGGGCAGTCTCGATGTTCGTGAGAGTCTTCTCGAGATCCTTGAGCTCAAGGTCGACCTTGGTCTTGGTGGCCTCGGCGTTCTTGATGGCCTCAACCTCGAAGGCCTCGATAGCCTTGAGCTGGCGGTTCACGTCATAGGTGGCGGGCTTGAAAGAGGTGAAGCGCTTCTCGATCTCGTTGACGATGGCTTGGTTCTTGAGGGTGCTGCGGTAGGCGGCGAAGTCGACGGTGGTGGGGAGCTCCGAGAGCTGCTGGAGCTTGCGGCGGGCGTCGTCGTTGCGCTTCTTGAAAGCCTGGAGGCTGGCCGCGGTCTGACCACGAAGGCCGAGGGAGGTGGTGATCTTGGCCCAGTCGACCTTGAGAGCTGCGTTCCGCTGTTTTTCGACGACAGGCAAAATTAGCTCAGCTTCTTTGCGGCATCATGATGACCCGAGGCGACGGGGCTTCGACGGCGCAATTGACAGCCACGAAATTGAGCCACCCGTGAATGGCAAACGGTCGCAAGGCCAGAGTCTCCCCACTAACGGATTGCACTTACTGCGGCCATTTTTGCGGTGGTTCTGAGGTGGTCAGGGAGTGGAGGTCAATCGCTGCCAGTATCGTTGCTTGCACTCGGCAAAGAGTTGAAGCAGGCCTATGCGGGCGATCGCGAAGCCGTCACGTGACTCTACCCCAGTGGGATGATCGGGTCGCGACTCACGGCGAAGATGCTCTTTACAACTTTTGCGCCAAGGCAGCAAATTGAGCATTTGTCAAGTGAATGGAAGCTATAACAGTTTGTCCGGTGGCCCAACTGAATTTCACACTTAACAAACGGCACTGGCGCCCTGCAGTCGACGTTTCTGTGCGCATTTCAGTGTGTTCATCCTTACGGGAGGTACCGGAATGCCCAAGCTCGTCCTAGACAAAATAGTTGAGACCTTTATATCATACCGTGGGTATACTCTTAGTACGCATCCAGGCGTCTTTATTACACCTCTGGTCTTGAGTTCTAGGCAATTCCTGCATAGAAACATCAATGGGACTCCAGCCGATGTCTTTTCAAGTTGTTGTGATCCCTATCACTGTCTTGCAACGGCCTATTTTCATGATCTTAGCGAACGGTAATGGACTAGTTTACCTAACCTGTTGGTTGGTCTCATCTATTTTGTCTCGGACGAACCAAGTCAACGCACACCACGTTGCAAACTCCTTACAACAGAATCCGTGAAGTCTCATCAGGAGGTCAAATCTGAACATACGAAGATGAAGCTCTTCCAATTTCCCGTGGAGCTTAAACTACGACCTAATGGACCATGATACCTTTTACATCCACCGCTGTCAAGGAGGTAGGGACAGAAGGTGGCCTAATGATATGAATACATGTCGAACTCAACAATTCGCTAAGCCGTCAAGGATGAGAATCTTGGCCGTCAATGGCAAAAAGACAGAATGGAAGCCGGATGGCGGCGGGGTTGGTGGGCCAAGAGGTATATTTTAACGTCAATCAACGGCTCCTAACGACAACTCAGATGCTCAACGCCATGATGGAGTTGACGATATCGTTGTCGTTCTCTTTGAGAGCCTTGATGGCCTTCTTGCGGGAGACGTTGGCCTGGGTCATGACAAGCTCGATGTCCTTGTCCTCAATACCCTCGGCATCGACCTCCTCACCCTCGTCCTCCTCTTCCTCCTCCTTGGCCTTGCCAGCCTCCTCGTGCTCGTGGGTGTGGCCGGCGTGGTCGTGCTCAGCGGACTGGCTGGCGAGCTGCTGGGCAGCGGCGGCCTGGGCGGAGGCGTTGAGGTCCTCAATCTTAGCCTCACCGAAGACGCTGTCCTAGAGTTAGTATCTGAACGGCGAGGTAACCGGAGAAGCTCCGCGATGAACGAACGGGCAAGCTTACATGTAGGTGTTGCTGTTGGGAGACTTGTAGACCTCGGGGTTGTTAATGACGAAGAGAATCTGGTCGTCTCTGTTAGCTATGGTAGTTCCCCACCAAAAAGGGGGCTCCAAGCTTCCGCCTTGAAACACAAAGCTGTCCAATCGCGGGGCTGTCCACGACGGCAGGAGTGCTGTGGAAGCAGTCGCTCTTCCAATGTTCCCAACTCACGTTCTTGGGGCGGCGGAGGGTGACGCGGGTGATGCCGGGCACGCGCTGGAGATGCAGCTTCTCAATGGCCTTGCGAGCCTTCTTCTCGTTGCGGGAGTGGATTACGGCCTGGGAGCCAGCGGGAAGGCTGGAGTCGCCAGCCTCGATATCGGACTCGTCATCGCTGGAGTTGTCGAGATCCTCGACCTGGGTCTTCTTAACCTCCTCCTCGGGGAGCTCCTCAACTCTGGGATCGGCCATTTTGATAGCTAGTTGCAGATTGACTGGTCAGCTCTCTAGCCCCGCACACAATCGCACACACACACCACCGCTCAAATGCGTCCTGTTTTGCACTCATTCTGAGCTGCAAAAATGGCAATATCGTGCCTGGGCGACGGCCCCAAGCAAAGGACGGGTACCACGAGTGTGCATCTCCTCGTCGCACTCACATTGTTGAGAAAATACCGCTAAGGTTTGATATGCGGGGTTGTGAAGGGGTCGCAAGGCGTGGTGGGAGAGAAAAAGTTCGGGATCCAAAATTCACCAAAAGTGCGTGCACGCCCCCCGGCCCCGGTGTGTGATCGCTCAACCGGGCACAGCAGCCACTGCCCAGCTTGCCCAAGAACCTCCTTTGTCCGATACCCCTCGGTAACCCTAATCATCATGCTAGTTCAATTTCGACCTGACCAGACTGTGGAGCCCTATATGCGTATATAGAGGGTCTTGATGAACACGGTCCACATTTACCCTCAACGACAATGTAGTCCAAGTTGTTCACGTAGACGGTAGAGGTTCTGGTTGGTTGATGATTGCGGATTGGAACTGACTTTTGCTTAAGCATTGATATGTTTTCCAAGGTTGCGCTTCGTATGCTACACAATGGCCGATGTTGGAGATTCCTGCTCTGGATCTACCGAGCGTAACTCGCCCTCTTGATTTGTCTTGGCAGGGGGGCCATCACCAGTGAGGTCATCTTCAAGATGTACTCATAGCGTCGTGTGTTGTATAAGTCCGAACTGCTCACGATGCCGAACAATCTTCACCAGCAGTTTCACTGAAGTTTCCAAATGGTAAAAAGTTCATAAAGTAATTCGAAACGTCTGTTGTTGACAATGGCATGCCATGATTACCCTTTAGCAAACGTGACATGGGATGGAGTGCTATCATGTCAAGTCCCATCTCTTTATGTGGATGTCAGAACGTCAACATACAGCTTCACGTGCGGATAGTGTGCCACAACCCACAGCCAGCCGAACAGGAACCAACCGTGACCAAGAAGTCGTTGTATCCCTTGTCTGTCCATTCCATCCACCTCTGCTGCCACGAGTCGCCCGTCCCAACCGCGCCGGACGCGTAGTCAAACCATACCATCACTTCACACCAGATCCGAAGTCACCGGAGCGCAATGGTCACAATCTGGTCTTCCCTGTCTGGAGCTCGGATATGTTCATCACAGCTTGCTTTGATTGATTCCAGCTCCTCAGATAAACCCAAGAAATGGTGGTTTTTAGGGGTATAGACCTTGGGGTCATTTTTGGCTTAATTCGCATTTTCCCTATGACGCCGCGAGCCACCCTGATGATGTGACAATAGAGGTCTTCCGAATGCGACGCAGAGAGGTATCCCAGCAACCCTGATGCTGAAGTTGTTCATGCAGACCGTTTCGAAAAACCCTCCACCCAAGAACCATGCCGACCAAACGCTCCCAAATCTAATCATCCCAAATCAATTAAGCAGAGGCCTTGATCTTGGCGAGAGCCTTGCGCTCCTCGAAGCGGCGCTGCTTCTTGAGGCGCATAACCTTGAAGCGGTCGAAGTCGGTGAGGGCCTTGCGGCGCTCCTGCTGGAGCTGCTTCTTGGCCCAGTTGCTCTCCTTCCACTTGGCATCGATGCCAGCGGCCTCCCAGGCCTTCTTGACGGCACCAGTGCGGGCACCACGGGGAAGCTTCTCGACGACGAGGGGGGTGAGAAGGGTCTTGGCGAGGGAAACGACGCCGCGGGGGGCAGCGAGCTTGGGGTCGGACGAGGGGCCATCGACAAGGACCTGTGTATCGCGAAAAATGATCGTTTAGTTTCCTGTCCTCGCGTCTTGAATTCAAATCGGTGGTTTCCATGCTCGGTTCAAACATACGCGCTTGTGGTCGACAATCTCGACGATGGTCGCGAGGCTGCCGCCCTCGAGCTTGAGGACACGGCCAACCTCAACGAGGCGCCAGGCGCTGGAACCGATCTGGATATCCGCCATTTTTCTTGTCGGTCTGAGTTGGATTTGCTGGGTCAGCGACAAGTCGGGAATCAGGGGAAAAGTGCGGATTGTCGCAAAGTTCAGGAGAGAAGCCAAAAACGCCGTGTGATAAGCTAGAGGCTTGGGGGGGTTCGATATGCGTACCTTTGATGCTGGTTACGAGGCCGTCAAAGAGTCCAAGTCATCCACCTTGCATCGATATCCAGACCAATTTTTGTGTGCGCTCCAGTAATTGGCAGGGCTAGGCGAAAAGTTACGGACACAAATTATTCCGCCTCCGTGGCTTGGCTCGCAAGGTTCCTGACGCAAGGGTGTCTGCCACAGCTAGCGCGGGGTTATCCCGGTACAGGCTCCATTGTAAGTGGGCCTTATCGATAACCACCAGCAATTGCAGTGGAACTTATCATGGCCTTGACCATTCACCTCACCTCTCGTCACCAACATCGTTAAATCGAAGGTCTCGAGTCTCGACATAACCTGCTGTTCAACAAGCAAAGCAAACGAAGTGCGCTGCGACACCACTCACTGGCAACATTCCTCATGAGACCCGCCTACTTACACAAGCCCTGACGATTATCAATTACCTGCTCTTCTTGATCCCTCTTGTCCAGATTCGCTTCTTGACATGGTAAGTGGGTTACATAGTACGGAGCGTTTATCGACATGGTCCCGCCGTGGTAAAGGCCTTTTGATGCGGGCACGCGAGGTCGGCATCGAAAATGATGGATTACCGGGTGAAGACTAAAATCTTTCTTTCTTTCCCCTTCTTCCGTCGTTGCAAGCTGGTTACCTCGCAACTCTTACGACTGCACGCCACGTTTCCGCAAATGCTTCCCGCCTTTTCGATAAAGCAGCTGTTGAGTTTGTCCCTTGCTGGACCAGGCTGATCCACAAGAACCTCATCCTTCATGCTCAATCTTGTTCAACATTCCAAGCTGTCAGTCCACCTTTACGCCCTTCGCTTTGGTTTTCCAGGACTCAAAGGTGTATGGAAGCTGGGGGGCGGGATGCCTTTGGCAGATGCTTAAAGAAGCAGGTGAAGTCGAACATCATCGCATGATAGCTCCGCGTATGATGACCGAAGGTCGGATTGTGGCTGGTTAGGTCGGCAATTAAGCTTTTTGATGGATCCACTGCACTAACAGGCACAATGGTCCGTTTTCGCGGCCGGTGATTCCTCAAAATCATGTGCAACATTTATCAAAAGTCATGGTAGCATCATAGCCATCGTATTCTCATATGAGTTTCCCCGTTACCCAATTTGTTCTTAGGTTTTGGGTGACTCATGCCGGGACGCCCGCTAAGACGTTGCCCAGAACGAAGAGAGAGGTGCAGTGATTGGTGAAGCAGCTTGGACACAAGCCTGTTCTGCGACTCTGACAGCCCTTGAAAACACGACGTGGAAAATGTACGAGACGTTTGTTTCGAGCAGCTGTCGGGCCGAACAACCGACGTGGGGAACGTACGAGATGGGTGTTTCAAGCAACTGTCGGGCTGAGCAGCCTTGCTTCTATATACCTTGAATCTCCGGACCTCAGACTACATCTTTCCGTCCTTCAACTGTGGTTGCTGTCCTCATTCGAGTCTCTTCCTCCATCAATTAACTTAATCTCAACTCGCATTGACGCTCTTCCTCTGCCACTGACAACCAACCGTCATTTGCAAATTGCTGCACAGCCAGCGCAGTCATCATGGCACAACCGCTAGCCATTACGGCAGCCGATACCGAGTTTTGCGAGGCCACACCGGAGCAGCGAGAGCTAGCATGGAAGCTCAACGGCGCTGCTTGGGCGCGACCCATGTCCATTGAAACCTACGTTGCGCAGGAATTTCACCTTTCGGAACAGGAGCTTACCAAGGACGGGCGTTGCAAGTACTGGGTACTGCACCTGACGGGATATCCTCGGCAGGTTATCGCGAGTTGCGAAACTACCAGGAAGAAGGTCTTGATTTCAGAAAACGGCGTTTCGCGAGAGGGCTACGGCTACGGTATTGCCAGTGTGTACACCAACCCAGACTACCGCCGCCAGGGCATGGCCGCAACCTTGCTCCGCCGTGTGCAGGAAGCAATGGATCGGGACAGCGATCTTAGCGTCTTGTACAGCGACATTGGCCGGCAGTACTATTCGAACCTGGGCTGGCATGTTGTCCCCAGAGATGAGCTCACTCTCACCTACATTCCGCCCGCCTCGACTAGTGACAACGAGACACCTACCCTCCAACACAGCCAACCCGGCAGTATACGGTACCTGCGTCTCGAGGACCTGCGCACTCTTTGTGAGGTGGACGAGCTTCATCTCAGCGCTCGCTTCGATCGAATCCCAGCCGACGGGGCAAGGCATGTCGCATTCTTGCCCAGCTTTGCTCAGATATCGTGGCAGGTCGCGCGGGCCGAGTTCGTCGCAGGAAAGCTGTTAGACGGAAAGGCCCCAGAGAATGTGGGGGCCATTACTAGTAACGGGCGAGCTTGGATATACTGGAGTCACGACTGGAAGCGGAAGAAGCTCAAGATTCTGAAGGTCGTCACTGTGCTAGAATCAACACAGCAACAGCGCATTTATGACATCAGGGTCCTTGTGGAAGCCGCACTGGTTGAGGCAACCACGTGGGGTCTGGGGACCGTGTTGCTGTGGAACCCGGATGAGGAGACAGCGATGGGCTGCAAGGCCGTGGGTGATGTGCATCCCCATGATATTGATGTCGTGATCGACGAGAATGTCGATCACAGTATCTCGTCTTTAAGATGGGCTGGCGGCAAGCACAAGAATACGGTCTGGGAAGACAACTATTACTATTGCTGGTGCTGAAGTCGGCTGGCTTGCCTCGCCTTGGAGTTCCTCCTGCGTTCTTTTTTCCGCTTTGGTCATGCAGCTATGAGTTAGACATGGAAGACCTTGGATAGTACGGTTCCGGCATAACTTAGATGGTCAGATGAGGTTAGAGGTTTAGACCAGCCGGTCCAATAGAGAATATACGTGGTGATACTGGTAGCAGACATGAGTCCTCTGAGGTGAGCTGAGCTTTAAAGCTTGGTGCAAGTCTGTCGCAGCTTACACCGAAATGAGGCTTCGGCCACGTAATTACCTGTTCTCGTTGACGCGACTGAAAGTTGAGAGAATCTCAAGGGCGCGAATTGGTTTGGTTTTTCCTGAACTGAAAGGCGAAATGAGATGGATGTTGAGACTTTGATCTGGACTTTTGGACAGTTCCGTGTGGCTGTTGAGGTACCCTCGTGGAACCCGTTGCGCGCTGTGGGACCGAGTTACATGGGGCCTGGGCTGATGGAGCGGCAAGGTTCCGAGCGGTCAAATGGAACGGGACCAGGGCAAGACGGGCACTCCTTTAGCGTGGGTTCATCCGAGAACCTTCAGGGGCATTTCGACTGACGCCGGGCTTTTGCTGACAAGGGTCCAGTTCCATAGGTCCCTTTTGGAACGGAAAACCCCCCTCTGCCCCCAACCTACCTAGGTACTGCATCTCTCCAACGAGGAGAAAAAAAGACCACGATCATGTTAGCACAACTTCGATGCATCATTTCATCCGCAGTCTAACAGCCAACTACTTTAGACAATGCTACCCCAATCCCATCTCTGATAAGAGATTTAATCCCGAAACCTCTCCTTGAACCTCGAACCAGCGAACCCGCGTCGAGATGCGAACATGTCCCTCCGATCGCTGAACACGACAACAGGCCCTGCGGCTAGCCGAGACCGCTCGCAATCGCTGCTCTCCCCCTCCGATTATGATGCCGATGCGATTTCAATTCGGAGCGAACAGGACACCGACAGCGAAGATGACGAACGCCAGCTCCGTGCGCGCAACAGCCGCGAGCTTCTTGCCCATGACCGCCTCGTCTTGATGGAGGAGGAAGAGCTGGAACAAATGGTGACCGAGACCCGGCGGAAGCAAGAGCTAGAACGCACAGTCTCTAACCTGCCAATCCCCAATCCTTTACGAATGCTTGCGCGCCGCATGAGCGATGTTTCGCCGTCACGATCTAGAAGTTCCTCTAGCGCGCCGGGAGCGTCAACGGACAATCTGGTGGCCGACAAGCGGAATAAGCGGCGAGCAAGGAGACAGGCCAAGAGAGACAGACTGCTGGCTGAGGCACAGCACGGGGAGGACGGCGAATTGATGTACGAGATGGAGGAAGGGGCCATGAAAGACGGAAGTTCTACGGGCGACAGCAGCGACCGCGAAGACAGCGACGATGTCGACCGAAGAGGCCTGCTGCATTTCGCGGATGCCAAGGCTAGACGCAAGCGAGACTGGTGCCGATGGATACTCGTATACAGCTTGATCATCGTCGCCTTCGCCATCCTGTTTTTGACGGCGTGGAAGTTGTCACTAACACAGCGGGGGAATGCCACTTCGAGGCGACCGCTAGTGAGCAATGGCACTGCCATGTTTGCGCCTACTACCATCATCTTCAGTCTGGATGGCTTCAGGGCCGATTTTCTCAATCGAGGACTAACACCAAGACTCAGTTCGTTCATCAAGGAGGGCGTGTCGCCATTGTACATGCTGCCATCCTTCCCTAGCGTCACATTTCCTAACCACTATACGCTTGCAACAGGCCTGTATCCCGAAGCTCATGGTGTTGTTGGTAACACCTTCTGGGATCCCACGCTCCGAGAGGAGTTCTACTACACTGACCCAGCGCGGAGTTTGGATCCAAAGTGGTGGCACGGAGAGCCCTTCTGGGTTTCGGCTCAGAAACAGGGACTCAAAACGGCCATCCACATGTGGCCAGGGAGCGAGGCCCACGTTTTGGACATTGAACCTACCTATATGGATAGGTATAACGGAAAAGAGAAGCTCGGAAACAAAGTTGATCGAATTCTAGGCTTTTTGGACATGCCAGATGATGAACGGCCACAAGTTATCGCGGCATATGTACCAAATGTTGACTCTGACGGTCACAAATATGGCCCGAACAGTACTGAGATTCGATCTACTATTGAAAAGGTCGACATGATGATGGACAAGATCTTTAAGGGACTGGAGGAGCGGCATTTGACCGACATTGTCAATGTCATTGTGGTCTCGGACCACGGCATGGCGACCACTGATATATCCCGACTTGTACAACTTGAGGACTTGGTCGACCTCAGTAAGATCGAGCACACAGACGGCTGGCCGCTGGTGGGGCTGAGACCCAAGAACCCCGATGAGCTTGAGGATATTTACC